GAACCTGGACTGCTCAATCTGGGGGTGAGTGATTGACCATGAGGCTACTATGCCTCCACAGTGGCAGCATTCCAGCGTAGTTTGAGTGATGGAAGTTTATTTCTAAGTGATGAAACACTGCATCTTATATTTGATGTACTTTGTAATATAAATTTTATTATGTCAAGTCCTGATACTCACAAAACTATATTTGTAAATCATTTGTTTTCCTCAGGAGAGCACATACTGTGACGGTATTGTTAATAATGTTATGTGTCCTGGTCTACGTTGGAGCATTTGAGAACCCACATGAAAATAGTGAATATAATGCAAAGAGGTTAGAATATTATATTGTTACGAGTGTTTTTTTTTAATAGAGTCTGATCATATAAAGGTGTTTTCCTGTTGTGCTGTGTTAGTTAGTATGATGGTGAGATATGTAACTGCCAACTGACAATGATAATTAACTGCCTTTGTGTATCTGTTATCATTTCAGAGGAATTATAGCCTGTATTGTCGTGTTTCTATTGTTTGGTGTGACTCAGACCAGGGATGGCCCCTTTAAAAGACCTCACCCAGGTATATAATTTGTAATATTAATTAATTTAAAATTGGAGTTGAGTTAATTTATGCCCCTAACTAGGCTATTTAATTTGCAAGTAATAGATCATAAACTGTGTTTTCAATAAGACCCAGAACATCTCAGACCTCTGGCTGGTATTCTGTTGTGAATCATCATAATGAATTAATCTGTGTCCTGGAGTTTTCAAAATTTAAGAATCCTCCCCTCCCCTCCTTAAGAGAAAGATGCAATAGGCCTCTATTGTTGTTTTCTGATGGTTACTGCAACAGAGCAGTAACCTTAAAACAAAGCACATTGAAAGCACTAGTGTTTCAGCCAGAAAATTTTACTTGAGGGCCAAAGTGGCCCCTGAAGACCTTTTTTAGGGGCCAATTTTTTAGGAAAGGGGCCAATAAATTGAAAGCTGCAGTAGGAAAAAATGCATCAGGGTACCAAGAAAAAGAAAGCAGTTTATTAGGATCTATGATAAAATTTAATGAGTGCTTTTTGAAGTGTTCCTACTCAATAAAGTTTCTTTTGAATCAGATACTAGTATGAAGGATCTGTGCATTACAAGAGAACAATCCTTAGGCATACATGATGTAGTCAATGATCAAGGGTTTGCAATGCATTATAGGGCGATTTCATACACGGTCAGCCATTTCAAGCTATTAGTAAAATTATCTTAGAATAGTTTAATAGATGGTTTTGACTTTTTGTTTTCTTTGTTTTGATTTTTAGCCTTCTGGCGTCTTATTCTTTGCCTAAGTGTTGTTTATGAACTAGCTTTAATATTTCTGTTATTTCAGGTATGTACTCTGATTATTAATATTGTGTTATTATATTTAACAAATATCATTCAAGACCTGGTAAATTTATGGCTAAAATAAGAAGTACTTGGCCCATTTTATCATCTGATGCAAGGGTGACAATCATTCTGACAAGTTTTTGAAATTTCAAACTAGGGAAGTGGAAGAGAACTAGCCTGGAAGCAGGCTCACCTTTGAGTCAGATATGTGGACAGCGAAGAGCGAGTCTGCAAGCAAATTGAAATTCTGTGAAATTCTCCACATAAAAGTCCTGCTCAGTAAGCTTTCATTGACGTTGTAATGCACCTGTAATATAGCCACAGACTGAAAATATGGATTTGAACATAATAAACAGTACAACATTAATTTAAGTGTGAGAATGATTGTGTGTTAGAAGCCTCTCCGAAGACATCAAAGCTTGAACTGCCATAGATTTAGATGTGGTAGAAGTCTTTTTTGAGCTAATCATTTTACCATTTGGTTGATACTTGTTGTGCCATTCTTTTCAGAGCACTGATGATGCAAGGCAGTTATTAAAGTATCTTGATGAAGATTTAGGTAAACCACTGCCAGAGCAATCTTATGGAGAAGACTGTAGACTGTATACACCAGGACACCCCAAGGGATCCTTCCACAACTTTCTTGTAGGTTACATAGAGTGATCTGTGGTAGTTTCTCCTTTCATTCTTAGTATGATGCTGCTCAGAGATGTTATGAGAATAAAGGAACTCATCAGTTGGTTGATATTGTTGTAATTGATCTGTCTGCATAGTCCCAGAAGTGACACTGAGGGATTTATGTTAAAATGCGACAGGAACAAATATTGTGAACATTAAAGCCCTGTTGACACTGTGCCTGAGAAATTTGAAAACACAGCTTTATTTGTTTTGGGTTAGGCCTACTGTCCACACTGTCTAATCTGTCTTGATAGCTTTTCTGATGAATCATCATTAGTGTGGGTGCAAAACATTTTGAAAATGGAGCTTTTCAAAATCAATGATGTCACGACAATCATGTGATTTCCCTGCTTGAGTTTTCCTCAAACACAAGTCCAAAATGACCGATGATAAGTTGTGTTTTCAAATTTCTTTGGCATAGTGTGGATGGGAAACATTTGGTGCGTTTTCAGAGAGAAACACCGTTTTAAAATCCCTCTGGCATAGTGTGGATGAGGCATAAGTTCTGGTCAGGATATCGTGTTAATTAAAGTTTTAATATCGGATAGCTTAGGCACACTATGTTGACTGTTATGTTTAATTAAGTTAAATTTTCTATCTTGATTAAAAGTTGGATTAATTGAACACTGTGAACAAAACAACAGGCAGTCCTGAGCATTTCCAATATCCCACATGCTGCCATGTTTAAATAAATAAATAAACAAACAAACAAGTAAATAAATAAATAATAAATAATCATATTTATATAAATGCAGGATGACCATTTCAGTTCAAAAAACTGCTATCAACATGGGTCCTGGGTAAACTATTTACTTGTATTTGCAAAGCTTGATGGGAAATTATGATGTCACTACATGGTCATGCATTTTCAAATTACTTAATTGTGTGAATTCTTCTATTTGTTTCAATATGTTTATGATATGATTACAGATTTAATTCAAAACTTTTAGACTCCACATTAAGATCTCTCTCTTGCACAATGATGTCACAACTTAGCATAAACTGATTAAGATGGTGAGCAGGTGATATAAACCAGACAGGCAACAGACACTTTGCATTCAGACCACTTGCTGAGATACTGCTTAATAGTTTTAACTTGTAAAAAACCCCAGGATCAGTTTAAGGGAACCATTCACTTCACTTTGAAACTTGAACTGTTTTTCAGCCAAGATTCCCTATAACATGGTGGTCAATTGCTCATTGCCAATGTCTAATGTCAATTGGTTTCTCTTGTTGCCCTACAGGAAAAGTGTGATGTCTTTCTACCAGCTCATTTCTTTGGCTGGTGGGCAAAGGTAAGATTCTTAAGACAAAATTTCCTGAGTGATGCATATTATAATATTATTAGACACCCTGTGGACTAGAATTCATGCCAGAATGGTTGGTTATCCTGTGCTAGCACCAGGATCACTCAGGGTTACCAAACATTGCTTTTTAACAAACACTAGGATAGGCCAACTGTTCTCAAAGAAGCAACTGAAAGCATCCAAACTAAATGTTGAAAAATTCCAACAGGAAAGGCCTACGTGTAAAACCTTCTCAAGAAGTGGGGAGAATTGAGGTTACAAAATAATGGAGAATTTATTGTTGCACTTTGATATGAATTTTTTTCCACAATAACATTATGTGGCAATTGCTTTTGCGTAATTGAACATTTGCCTCAATGCCATATTATTTTGTTCCACTGGGGATGGCTTGGACGGAAGATCTGCTTAATTAATTATGTTGAATAATTTGCATGCCTGCATGCATTTGAAGTTCATTAATTTTGTACAATAAGTAGTTTATTAGCATTTAAACTTTCATTCAGAGTTGAGATAGCGTAGTTACTACACTGATTGCTGTGTAGTTTCTTTTTTCTTTTAAAATGATTAATTTTCTGTCGACAAATTCTGTATTTCAGGCACTCATTATCCGTGATTACTGGTTGTTGACTGTGATTAGTGTTCTCTTTGAAGTCTTGGAATACTCTTTGGAGCATCAGTTACCCAACTTCAGTGAATGTTGGTGGGATCATGTAAGTCTTGTAGACATTAGTTATCTAGACTGGAGTGCTCAGTTTTCAATACTTGACTGTCTTAAAACCAAAACTAAAGTAATCACTCCAGATGGCGAAACACAAAGGACCGCACAATCCAAATGAACCAATCAAAACTTGACGTTAATACATGTACATGTAGCTGATGCGAAGTGCGGGAAAATGTGTGCAAAGGAGTTCCGATTTTGGCTTTACTTCTGATTGGATGAGCAAGTGGCGTGAGTTTTTTTAATTTAATTGGGTAGTGTAGCAGAGCGGTTTTCATTCAAATGTTGAAGAGTAATTGGTTTTACATCAACTACAGGTGTTGTACGCTTCACGATTGGCTTTAAGACTCGCACCTCTTTTCCATCCAATCAGAAGTAAAACAAAACCAATTGTGTCTCACTAGCGTTTGTTTCACCGTGCTCTTTGTCAACTACATGTAAATACTTCTGGTTTTGATTGGCTCACTGTATTGTCCATGTTTTTTGTGACTGGTTTGAGTGATTACTTTGGTTTTTGTTTTACAAAAACTGCACTAACTTAATGCAAAACCAATTACTTTTTGTCACTCAAGTGAAAACCTCTCTATTGCATTGGAAAAGTAAACACCACGCATGTGCTTTGCTGAATCAGCTCCTTCAGTCTGTAATGGGGAATATTGCTCTTTTTCTCTTTTATGCTCTTTTATTAACCTTGCGTACCACTTGGCCAATAAATTTGCAGAACTGCAAAGAAAAAAAAAACCTCAACCTATTATTTCCCTCAAGACAGATTTCAAAACATGATTAATTTCTTGCATTACAGTCTAAATTATTTGTTGCAAAATTAATGTCTTTTTGCATATTGTCATTTCTTGAACAGTGGATTATGGATGTTCTCGTCTGTAATGGCTTTGGAGTTTACCTTGGTATGAAGACTTGTGAATATCTAGGAAATAAGGTAAAGCTTCTCTTTCATAGCACGGTCAAACTCCTATCATAGACACTCTTTGTTAAGTAGTGTGGCTACATGTGTGAGTTCGAGGAAAACATCTTCTGTAAGTGCATGTGGACATCTACATAATTTGCATAGTCTAGCAGTAAGTGGCCATTGTGCTACCTGTATGCACGCATGAAAGTTAACCATTCTAAGGGTGGCCATAGTGCTAATCAGGCTTACTAGGATAAATACAGTAAACTAAATATTAGTCTTGTGGCTCTCTGTCTAACTGACCTTAACTAACAATACTAAGATTAAAACCATGCACAGTAGTATAAGCAATGTAAAGGGTGATGTTCAAGTACAGCAGAGAAGATATATATTAATCAACATATTATTAATCCTTTTTACTTCTTTCTATTTTTAGCCATATCACTGGAGGGGTTTATGGAACATTCCCACATACAGGTAGAGTGACTGTTTCTCTGTTGTGTTTGCGTGCCAGACTAAATCTTTAACTTGCCAATCACGAAGCTAGGAAGGGAGAAAATATGGTAGTTGAAGAAAATCAGGGGTGTGTTGCCCTCAGCAGCATGCAAAGGAAGTCATGTGCCATAACCTAGGGCTTTTGCAGGTTAATGGTTTCTGTCCTCGGCTCACACGATGGGCAAGTGAAGGTTTTTGCGAGAAAATTTTGGAGGAAATTCATATCATAGAAGTACTGTGCCACGCAACATACAAACTCCTCAAAACCTTTTGACCACCCTTGTCATATGTATTATAATTATCGGCATGTCCGTGTCAACTATCACGAGTTGGCGTAAAGAGTCTTTGATTGTTTTATTTGCTTTTTTTTTTTTGCTACTGTTAACTAACTTTTTTTAAGTTTTTTTTTTTTTATATTTATGTTTCAAATCTTTTGAAGCGGTTTTCACCGGCAAATTACTTGCACACTTTTGATTCGCAAATGTATCATTCATTAGTTTTCGGACACCGATTCTGCTTCATTTCATACGAATTTATGTAACTAGCGAAATCATTAGGGAACAACGTTTCGCAGTTACAGTATCAAGTTCTAGCGTGGAAAAATGCGGTGAAGAATTTGTGAATGTAATTATGGGTATAAAAATTGGGAGCAAGTAATCCTATGTGGAAAGCTTTGCACGGAAAGATCTCTTCTGCTCTCCGATCTCTTTTGTTCTTCAACTTGTTTGTGGAGGTGTTGACGACATGACCTGCATGACGCAGGTCATTTAGAATGGCTGGTTTTGGCTCAGTTTTGCATCTTAACTTCTTGTTGGATTTTCCTGCTTTTCCCGAGGATAAAGACTGGTTGGATTCCCTTATCGATTTTGCTTTTTAAGTCTTTAAGTTGACATTGTGCAACATCCGCGGACTTCTGTTTGATACGTGTGGAGTCTTCGTGAGGGGGTTTTCGGGATTGTCCGGGATTCGTTAAGAAGTGTTTTTTTTGGTGGCGGAGCCGCCATTTTGTTCTCTCGCGGGCTTCGCCACTCGCGTTCACGCATCAATGACTTCGCCACCAAAACGAAAGCACTCGCGCAAAATCCGGCCATTCACGCAGGCTATGGTTGTCGTTATGGTAACCTGTGTGTGTCAGAGGCCTGTGAGGTAGTGAAACGAGTTACGGTTTAGTTCAAAGTTCGCTTGATAATTAAGTCTTGAATACATATATTGTTTTAAACTGTTCGCATTCCTCAGAAAAATATTGTCAAGTGGGCGAGAGCCGGCAGGCCTGGTTCAACATGGTATGCAGAAGTGATTTCTGTTATCTGCTGTCTACATGACTTGGGAAATGTTACATGCGCGAGCGGCAAAGAGCAAAGCGATCCTGCGGTGAGGAGTCTCGTCTCGCGGCTTTGCTGCTCGATTTCGCGCTCGCGGCTACGACGACCTGCTCCCCAGGCTACGGCAATGTAAAATGCGATCATCGGCGTTGGTTGGTTTTCTGTTAACCTTTGTCTCTAATCAGCAGCCTTAAGCAAGCCTTTCGTTAATATTGCCCCCAGGCATACATTTCTTTGTAGAAATTGGCGCGTTTGGGGTCACATACTTCCATGAGTTAAAAATGGTTTCTTATAAAACTGCGCAGGGTTACTATATTGGCACACTAAATCAATCGATGGAGTTGAATTTCTGTTTTCTATGAAAAATGCGAAACATTGTTAATGTTGCACAGGGATTTCAGTAACATTTTCAGTAGGAGGGTAACTGGTTCTCACAGGCGGGCAAAACCTCTTCGAACTGAACTTCTTTCAAAGAAAAACTTTGAGTTCCCAAGATTGTCAAATCAGGCGGGCAAAATCATCCTCACAGCCGCGGGTCAATTTGCGCGGTGCCCGGCTCTTAATGAAACCCCTGAAATTGCATGACATCGTCAAAAATAGTCCACTGGTCAGAGGTATGGCAATTGACAGTTCAAACAACTAAAGTCTGATAACAAATTTACTGTTCTAATAGACTTTTTTCACTGCCAGCAGTCGACACACAGTCGTTTCCTCCTTGATTCCGCGGAAATCCAGTGGTTTTCCACCTGTCGGGCTTGAATACGGATGATATCTCTGCAAGCGTTCTTCGGTTACCAGCTTAGGATCAAACAAACCGTTCGTAGTTGACCAAAGCCACTTAAGAAACCCGTCAGTGCTTTCAAACACAAACTGTGCACTTTCAGTGTCGTAGCTGTTGATTATATGGAATCCGGCGGCAGAGCAGTACTGCTCGATTTTTGCCCTCTCTTCAAAGTTGAACATGCCGATTATTTGCGCTGCCTTCTCTGGATTTAGCTCCTGAAAGGCGTTCAGCATGAATGGGTAAAGATAGCTGACATACTGCGCTGCCACTTTGCCGCCGGATTTAAGGCTTGTATACATGTTCTGGAACGCGTTATCTTTGTCAGGAATCCACTGAATTACATAGTTGCTAAAGACAATGTCGTACATCTCTGATCTAATACCTGGGAACTGCGAAGAGCTTCCTTCGATGAAGGAGAGGTTCTTTATGTCACCGTAAGATTGCCGAGCTAGTTGAAGTCGCTCCTTGTCAGGATCAACACCCACAACTTTTCCCTTGGGTCCGACGAGTTCGGCCAGGTATGCAGACAGCCCTCCTGTACCGCAGCCTAAATCCAAGATGGTGTCTCCGGGCTGAGGGTTCACGTTCACTCGTATGAACGTTTTGCCGGACTCGTTTTGTACGGGAAGAGAGCTTTCCTTGTATCCCTCTGCAGCAGTGTTAGTGGTTAGTGAAGTCATGATGTATAGACTCGGGGGTTAATAAGCAAAGGTACCCTGAGAGTCAGATATTCCCTTCTCTTTCTGCTTGGTGACCTCTTCTCCTGACCGCTTAACTCTCAAACTAGGTCAACATGTCGTGCGCGTCCGCGTCCGCTTTGTCATGACATGCGATGCACATTTTTAGCTTTTCACGGTTGATTTCAATACTGACAATGCTGTCAAACTCAGAAAATCATTAACACCTAAAGTATGTCTGGAATGTTTATTGTGTTATAACCAATCACGAGCGAGATCTTCAACCACAGAAACCACAGAAAACCGATGTATTGCATCGGTCACGGATCTCTAAATTTAGTTTTTGGTTTTCGCTTTGGCCCAAGATACACCCTCTGTCTTTATATGTTACTGAAAGTCTAAATAATAGCTATCCTTTTGTATTGAGAACCACATCCAGTACCTAGTTTGCGGGATTTTGGAAAACAAGAATCCCGCCGACATGTGCGGTTACTCAAGCGAAGCGACGGTTAATTTGACACGGCTATAAATAGGGAAAAGATTTAAACTTTGGGGTGTCAGTAAAACGCGGTCTCGGGGCCGGGGTCGGGGTCGGTATTTTGTTTTCCAAGGTCTTCTTTCTTTCCTTTTCTTTTTCATCCCAAATTCCGATTTCTCGCGATTTACATCAGCAGTGCATCATTGCAATATTTTCGCATATGAAGAGAACAAGATGCGGTGGAGCTCATTTTTTCACATCATCTCAAGCAATCCGCGTCACATTTCAGTCAAGACAGTCGAATATAGAAGCGGCACAAATTTATTTTCTAGTTCAGCGCGCTGATTTCTGCAAAAAAANTTTTTAACAAACACTAGGATAGGCCAACTGTTCTCAAAGAAGCAACTGAAAGCATCCAAACTAAATGTTGAAAAATTCCAACAGGAAAGGCCTACGTGTAAAACCTTCTCAAGAAGTGGGGAGAATTGAGGTTACAAAATAATGGAGAATTTATTGTTGCACTTTGATATGAATTTTTTTCCACAATAACATTATGTGGCAATTGCTTTTGCGTAATTGAACATTTGCCTCAATGCCATATTATTTTGTTCCACTGGGGATGGCTTGGACGGAAGATCTGCTTAATTAATTATGTTGAATAATTTGCATGCCTGCATGCATTTGAAGTTCATTAATTTTGTACAATAAGTAGTTTATTAGCATTTAAACTTTCATTCAGAGTTGAGATAGCGTAGTTACTACACTGATTGCTGTGTAGTTTCTTTTTTCTTTTAAAATGATTAATTTTCTGTCGACAAATTCTGTATTTCAGGCACTCATTATCCGTGATTACTGGTTGTTGACTGTGATTAGTGTTCTCTTTGAAGTCTTGGAATACTCTTTGGAGCATCAGTTACCCAACTTCAGTGAATGTTGGTGGGATCATGTAAGTCTTGTAGACATTAGTTATCTAGACTGGAGTGCTCAGTTTTCAATACTTGACTGTCTTAAAACCAAAACTAAAGTAATCACTCCAGATGGCGAAACACAAAGGACCGCACAATCCAAATGAACCAATCAAAACTTGACGTTAATACATGTACATGTAGCTGATGCGAAGTGCGGGAAAATGTGTGCAAAGGAGTTCCGATTTTGGCTTTACTTCTGATTGGATGAGCAAGTGGCGTGAGTTTTTTTAATTTAATTGGGTAGTGTAGCAGAGCGGTTTTCATTCAAATGTTGAAGAGTAATTGGTTTTACATCAACTACAGGTGTTGTACGCTTCACGATTGGCTTTAAGACTCGCACCTCTTTTCCATCCAATCAGAAGTAAAACAAAACCAATTGTGTCTCACTAGCGTTTGTTTCACCGTGCTCTTTGTCAACTACATGTAAATACTTCTGGTTTTGATTGGCTCACTGTATTGTCCATGTTTTTTGTGACTGGTTTGAGTGATTACTTTGGTTTTTGTTTTACAAAAACTGCACTAACTTAATGCAAAACCAATTACTTTTTGTCACTCAAGTGAAAACCTCTCTATTGCATTGGAAAAGTAAACACCACGCATGTGCTTTGCTGAATCAGCTCCTTCAGTCTGTAATGGGGAATATTGCTCTTTTTCTCTTTTATGCTCTTTTATTAACCTTGCGTACCACTTGGCCAATAAATTTGCAGAACTGCAAAGAAAAAAAAAACCTCAACCTATTATTTCCCTCAAGACAGATTTCAAAACATGATTAATTTCTTGCATTACAGTCTAAATTATTTGTTGCAAAATTAATGTCTTTTTGCATATTGTCATTTCTTGAACAGTGGATTATGGATGTTCTCGTCTGTAATGGCTTTGGAGTTTACCTTGGTATGAAGACTTGTGAATATCTAGGAAATAAGGTAAAGCTTCTCTTTCATAGCACGGTCAAACTCCTATCATAGACACTCTTTGTTAAGTAGTGTGGCTACATGTGTGAGTTCGAGGAAAACATCTTCTGTAAGTGCATGTGGACATCTACATAATTTGCATAGTCTAGCAGTAAGTGGCCATTGTGCTACCTGTATGCACGCATGAAAGTTAACCATTCTAAGGGTGGCCATAGTGCTAATCAGGCTTACTAGGATAAATACAGTAAACTAAATATTAGTCTTGTGGCTCTCTGTCTAACTGACCTTAACTAACAATACTAAGATTAAAACCATGCACAGTAGTATAAGCAATGTAAAGGGTGATGTTCAAGTACAGCAGAGAAGATATATATTAATCAACATATTATTAATCCTTTTTACTTCTTTCTATTTTTAGCCATATCACTGGAGGGGTTTATGGAACATTCCCACATACAGGTAGAGTGACTGTTTCTCTGTTGTGTTTGCGTGCCAGACTAAATCTTTAACTTGCCAATCACGAAGCTAGGAAGGGAGAAAATATGGTAGTTGAAGAAAATCAGGGGTGTGTTGCCCTCAGCAGCATGCAAAGGAAGTCATGTGCCATAACCTAGGGCTTTTGCAGGTTAATGGTTTCTGTCCTCGGCTCACACGATGGGCAAGTGAAGGTTTTTGCGAGAAAATTTTGGAGGAAATTCATATCATAGAAGTACTGTGCCACGCAACATACAAACTCCTCAAAACCTTTTGACCACCCTTGTCATATGTATTATAATTATCGGCATGTCCGTGTCAACTATCACGAGTTGGCGTAAAGAGTCTTTGATTGTTTTATTTGCTTTTTTTTTTTTGCTACTGTTAACTAACTTTTTTTAAGTTTTTTTTTTTTTATATTTATGTTTCAAATCTTTTGAAGCGGTTTTCACCGGCAAATTACTTGCACACTTTTGATTCGCAAATGTATCATTCATTAGTTTTCGGACACCGATTCTGCTTCATTTCATACGAATTTATGTAACTAGCGAAATCATTAGGGAACAACGTTTCGCAGTTACAGTATCAAGTTCTAGCGTGGAAAAATGCGGTGAAGAATTTGTGAATGTAATTATGGGTATAAAAATTGGGAGCAAGTAATCCTATGTGGAAAGCTTTGCACGGAAAGATCTCTTCTGCTCTCCGATCTCTTTTGTTCTTCAACTTGTTTGTGGAGGTGTTGACGACATGACCTGCATGACGCAGGTCATTTAGAATGGCTGGTTTTGGCTCAGTTTTGCATCTTAACTTCTTGTAGGATTTTCCTGCTTTTCCCGAGGATAAAGACTGGTTGGATTCCCTTATCGATTTTGCTTTTTAAGTCTTTAAGTTGACATTGTGCAACATCCGCGGACTTCTGTTTGATACGTGTGGAGTCTTCGTGAGGGGGTTTTCGGGATTGTCCGGGATTCGTTAAGAAGTGTTTTTTTTGGTGGCGGAGCCGCCATTTTGTTCTCTCGCGGGCTTCGCCACTCGCGTTCACGCATCAATGACTTCGCCACCAAAACGAAAGCACTCGCGCAAAATCCGGCCATTCACGCAGGCTATGGTTGTCGTTATGGTAACCTGTGTGTGTCAGAGGCCTGTGAGGTAGTGAAACGAGTTACGGTTTAGTTCAAAGTTCGCTTGATAATTAAGTCTTGAATACATATATTGTTTTAAACTGTTCGCATTCCTCAGAAAAATATTGTCAAGTGGGCGAGAGCCGGCAGGCCTGGTTCAACATGGTATGCAGAAGTGATTTCTGTTATCTGCTGTCTACATGACTTGGGAAATGTTACATGCGCGAGCGGCAAAGAGCAAAGCGATCCTGCGGTGAGGAGTCTCGTCTCGCGGCTTTGCTGCTCGATTTCGCGCTCGCGGCTACGACGACCTGCTCCCCAGGCTACGGCAATGTAAAATGCGATCATCGGCGTTGGTTGGTTTTCTGTTAACCTTTGTCTCTAATCAGCAGCCTTAAGCAAGCCTTTCGTTAATATTGCCCCCAGGCATACATTTCTTTGTAGAAATTGGCGCGTTTGGGGTCACATACTTCCATGAGTTAAAAATGGTTTCTTATAAAACTGCGCAGGGTTACTATATTGGCACACTAAATCAATCGATGGAGTTGAATTTCTGTTTTCTATGAAAAATGCGAAACATTGTTAATGTTGCACAGGGATTTCAGTAACATTTTCAGTAGGAGGGTAACTGGTTCTCACAGGCGGGCAAAACCTCTTCGAACTGAACTTCTTTCAAAGAAAAACTTTGAGTTCCCAAGATTGTCAAATCAGGCGGGCAAAATCATCCTCACAGCCGCGGGTCAATTTGCGCGGTGCCCGGCTCTTAATGAAACCCCTGAAATTGCATGACATCGTCAAAAATAGTCCACTGGTCAGAGGTATGGCAATTGACAGTTCAAACAACTAAAGTCTGATAACAAATTTACTGTTCTAATAGACTTTTTTCACTGCCAGCAGTCGACACACAGTCGTTTCCTCCTTGATTCCGCGGAAATCCAGTGGTTTTCCACCTGTCGGGCTTGAATACGGATGATATCTCTGCAAGCGTTCTTCGGTTACCAGCTTAGGATCAAACAAACCGTTCGTAGTTGACCAAAGCCACTTAAGAAACCCGTCAGTGCTTTCAAACACAAACTGTGCACTTTCAGTGTCGTAGCTGTTGATTATATGGAATCCGGCGGCAGAGCAGTACTGCTCGATTTTTGCCCTCTCTTCAAAGTTGAACATGCCGATTATTTGCGCTGCCTTCTCTGGATTTAGCTCCTGAAAGGCGTTCAGCATGAATGGGTAAAGATAGCTGACATACTGCGCTGCCACTTTGCCGCCGGATTTAAGGCTTGTATACATGTTCTGGAACGCGTTATCTTTGTCAGGAATCCACTGAATTACATAGTTGCTAAAGACAATGTCGTACATCTCTGATCTAATACCTGGGAACTGCGAAGAGCTTCCTTCGATGAAGGAGAGGTTCTTTATGTCACCGTAAGATTGCCGAGCTAGTTGAAGTCGCTCCTTGTCAGGATCAACACCCACAACTTTTCCCTTGGGTCCGACGAGTTCGGCCAGGTATGCAGACAGCCCTCCTGTACCGCAGCCTAAATCCAAGATGGTGTCTCCGGGCTGAGGGTTCACGTTCACTCGTATGAACGTTTTGCCGGACTCGTTTTGTACGGGAAGAGAGCTTTCCTTGTATCCCTCTGCAGCAGTGTTAGTGGTTAGTGAAGTCATGATGTATAGACTCGGGGGTTAATAAGCAAAGGTACCCTGAGAGTCAGATATTCCCTTCTCTTTCTGCTTGGTGACCTCTTCTCCTGACCGCTTAACTCTCAAACTAGGTCAACATGTCGTGCGCGTCCGCGTCCGCTTTGTCATGACATGCGATGCACATTTTTAGCTTTTCACGGTTGATTTCAATACTGACAATGCTGTCAAACTCAGAAAATCATTAACACCTAAAGTATGTCTGGAATGTTTATTGTGTTATAACCAATCACGAGCGAGATCTTCAACCACAGAAACCACAGAAAACCGATGTATTGCATCGGTCACGGATCTCTAAATTTAGTTTTTGGTTTTCGCTTTGGCCCAAGATACACCCTCTGTCTTTATATGTTACTGAAAGTCTAAATAATAGCTATCCTTTTGTATTGAGAACCACATCCAGTACCTAGTTTGCGGGATTTTGGAAAACAAGAATCCCGCCGACATGTGCGGTTACTCAAGCGAAGCGACGGTTAATTTGACACGGCTATAAATAGGGAAAAGATTTAAACTTTGGGGTGTCAGTAAAACGCGGTCTCGGGGCCGGGGTCGGGGTCGGGTCTCTTTTTTATAATTTTCTTTCTTTTTTCTTTCTTTAATTTTGTTTTCCAAGGTCTTCTTTCTTTCCTTTTCTTTTTCATCCCAAATTCCGATTTCTCGCGATTTACATCAGCAGTGCATCATTGCAATATTTTCGCATATGAAGAGAACAAGATGCGGTGGAGCTCATTTTTTCACATCATCTCAAGCAATCCGCGTCACATTTCAGTCAAGACAGTCGAATATAGAAGCGGCACAAATTTATTTTCTAGTTCAGCGCGCTGATTTCTGCAAAAAAAGGCCATGAGTTAGTCGAGTTAGTGGAAAATTAAGAGATCCATCATTAGGTTAAATAAGGATTTTTAAAAGCCTCTAAAAATAATTCGTCTCGAAATCTTAGTATGTACACTCGATGCTGCTCATTCTGGTAGTTCCGTGAATTGACTAGGTCATACTCTCGCAAGAAACGAAGCGAGGAAAAACAGATTTGTTTGCCTTGAACTAACAAATTCGTGAACTAGGATAAAGCAAAACTTATCATAAACACCTACACCGCCTTCCATGAGACCCTGGGAACGAGGTTGCTATAGATTGTTTTGACTGTTGCGCAATGGAAAAAATAAATCAAAAACCATTTGGTGGATGAAGTCAAGAAAATGCGATCTTATAAAAAATAAATAAAAGAAAAAACTTCTACAAGTTTTAGGTCGGTGCGTTTTCCCAAACTTCAGAAATTTGTCAATAAGTGTCGCACAAATTTACTTCTCAGTATGGAGCCGCCATGTTAGCGAAGCTCTGTAGTACATCAATATGGCGGCCGGAAAATAGTGTAACCATCTGAAACTTACTTTGGTTATCTAGGCCACTGACTATATTTACCGCAAAAACATACATTCACATAAAATCTTTTCCTGATACCTTTACTTCACAAATGGCTAAAAATCACGGAGTAAGTATATATTTATCGACGAACGCGATTGTAGCCCTATGTCACGCACTGCCGTAAACCTGAAGTTCAAAATCCACTGGTTTCCAAACGAAGGACGCTATTGAGCTGAAACGTTGTCAACAATATATGTTTTGCACCTCTTATGCCTGATGAGGATAGAGCCTCTGGTGGCTGTTTAGTTTTGAATCTCAGAACGTTTTGACGTCACGTGAAAACCATCTATACTAAGCTTTCGAGACTTACTTTTATAGGCTTCAATAGTGGATCCCTTAAAGGAAAGAAATGTGTGCATGTTCTCTATTTGACTGTTTTGACTGAAATGTGACGAGGGTTGTTTGCGGTGATGTACCTAACAAATGAGCTCCACTGCATTTAATTTTCTTTATATGCAAAGATATAGCAATAATGCACTGCTGATACAAATCGCGAGAAATCGGAGTTAACATTAAAAAATAAAGAAAAAAAAAAAAGACGTTAAAAGAGAAACTTAAAGAGAGAAGGAAAAAAAAAATGTAAAAAATGAGACCCCGGCCCCTACCCCGACCCCGACCTCGAGTCCGCGTCTTACTGACACACATCCCGCCGACATGTACGGTTACTCAATCGAAGCGACGGTTAATTTGACACGGCTATAAATAGGGATCCGTAGAGATTTGAAACTTTGGTGGTTTCGCTTACCTTGATATCATCTTTGATTAAACTAGCGACTCGATTTGTTTTAGCAAATAATTACAATCCCTTGGGCGTAGACTACGAGTAGTCCCTCTTTCGCTTAGTCCGTCGTGCGTGACGCGAAAGAAAACCGCGAGAAAAAAAATGACCGCGCGAAATCCTGGGGCGAGAAGAACGGCCGCGCGAGATCCTGGGGGCGAGAAGAACGCGAAAGGAAATCTCGCGTTCTTCACGGTTACTGTAAGATATTTTAAAGTACAACAAACATTTTTCTTTTTTAGCGGCAAGTTTCAGAGGGTGGCTGCTCAATTTACTCCTTATTCATGGACATCTTACAACTGGAAGGCGACCACAAGCCTCAAGAGATGGCTTGCAGTTTGTGGAATTGCTGCTGTGGTATGTCCAGTCCTTTACAGTTTTATATCAAATTTTATAGACAAGTGACCTAGCCAGAATTAACTTGGGTCTCTTTGCACCCTCAGTTGTAGCTTAGCTGGAGGGATTTCACGCTGGAGGCTTTTGTTTTCGCGCGCAAAATTCCGCAAGCTGCGTTGGTTATGCCCGCGCCTTGTACCCAGATCTCACTCCGTTTGATAATGAAAAGTGGCCGTGTGAGATCTGGGTTTGAGATTATGTATGTCTCTCAATACTGATGATGTAGCTTTACAGAGGTCCGTGTGGTTTCTCTGATTGGCTATTGCTCGAATTTTGAATTTTTGCAACAACCGCTACCAGCGATCCCTCAGAGACTCTTAACAGATCTTTGTAGAGCAGAACTTTCCGTTTAGTGTACTGTTTGTGCTTTTGCTCGAATCACAGACTTCTCTAACTGAGGAAGAATCGAATGCATTAAGACCGTGTGTCTGGTCTTCACCCAAACACAAACACAGGAGACAAAGCGAAAGTTTGTCATTCAGTTCTTTTTCTCTATTATCGTCCGCTGAATTTGGGAAAGTGAATGAATAAATTTTCTATCTGCTTCAACTTTGTAAATTTCTAATAGTTTGTTTTTCAGTGGAGACTATTATTGTCTTTCACACATCCCGTCTTGTGATACAGTGCATACGTAACGTTGCTTTATCACGAATTCTCGTTTGAAGCTGTATGCAGGTTACTGCAACTGTGCTCACAATGTTGTTTTGATATTTCAGTTCCTGATGGCAGAGTTAAACCTGTTTTACCTGAAGTTCATTCTGTGGATTCCTCCTCCTCATTTTATTATGCAAGCTCGTATGGCGTTGTATTTAGGGATTGGAGCTGTGTCTCTCAATGAAACATTCCGGTACATGGATGACCCGTAAGTACTAAGTAAGCGTAGTTAATATCAGAAGAAAATGATTGTTGGACGTGGCAAAATAACTAGTGAGAAACCTGACGGACATGATACTCTCAAGATAACCTTGTTTGAGATACATTACTTTTTGGAGAGAAATATTAAAAAAAAGCCGAAATTGTTGAACTCAGTGCTAGAGGATTTTAAGAAGGCGAACACAGTGGCCTGTTTCAAAACTAATCTCAAGACTCTTCTTTCTGAGAAAGCCTTACATTTTTAGTTAGTTGCGTATTGTTTGTAAATAATTGTAAAAGGTATTAGGTTTAAGATAATGCACCCTATAAGGCCTGGTTTTAACTACGACACACGGCACAAGCACAAGCATTAGCATATCGTGAGGACACCCACATCACAAGCATAAGCGCTGAGCACAAGCACACGGTGCTGAGGACGCGCACAAGCGTAAGCAAAAGCAGAACAAAACGTTTTGTTCGTCTTGTGCTTGTGCTTATGTCAAGTGAGAACGCACTGATGAAAGCATAGGCGATGAGCACTGTCTGCCATCTTGTTTTACTGTATGGAGGAGGTATGGAACTGAGAGGGCGGCAATTATCCATTCTGCGCATGCGTACTTGCTTATGCTTGTGTTGTGGCCGTCTTAGGCTCAGTATCTTTATGCTTATGCTTGTGCTTATGTCGTCGTGAATATTATTATTCAATCTGTTGCTTTTGATCATTAGCACCTGCAAACGATTCGGACAGCAAGCCTGGGTTGTGGCGGCTATTGTATCTACAGAAGTGTTGATCTGCGTCAAGTTTGGCTGGGAGACCATCAGTATACCCCTACCTATGCATGTAGCTGCATTCTGGATTCTCTTCTTTAGCACCTGGACTCTTTGGACTGTGTGGAACTTTTGGCCTTCCATCATCGATGGCTTTGGAGTACATCATCATGACTCGGAGAGTAATGGAAAAAGTAACACGGAACATAGACCGAAGCGTGAATGAGCTAGGCACAATTTTTTAAGGGACTGTTAGGTATGCTTGACTTGTGATCTAAACTCCAGCACCAAGCTCGGAATTTTAATACTCAATACCGATTGCTATAGAGTGATTGCAAAGTGTGTTCTGAGAATTTGATAGTTCATCACGACTATCGTCTAGTTGACTACTTCCTTAATTCTCACCACCTGTATGCTTGACGTTGTATTGTCATTGGAAGGAGAAATGAGATGCCGATCTCTTTAGAACCTACATGTATAGACTACGAGTAGTCGTCGACTTTTCCTCAAATTTTGCTTACATGCGCGTGGAAATGTTTCCTTTATGTAAATCTCTGGTGAAAACATTATGGGAATTGACAGAGGAAAGATTCTTTCCATTCCCGATAATTCGGCTGCTTTGCTTTCTGCTCACGTGGGAGGCGCGGTGGCCTAGTCCACTGGACTTCTGATCAAACTCTGGCTTGGATCATTGTGTCGTGTACTTGAGCAAAACACTTTAGTCTCGCATTGTCTCTCATCGAAGAGGGACTACTCGCAGTTCATAACTTGTAGTAATTCATACCCTCAACAATTAGTATTAATTTATTCAAGAAATAAACAGATCCCGCAAGTGGAAGTTAGTTTGTGTGGAACACCTGCAAGGACAATGGGCACTTTTATAAACACTGCGTTCACCATCCTTTGCTAGTCCGGCGTTTGTATGCCTGGGTGCAAATTCTTGCTAGCCAGCCATGCAACCGTCTGTAAGCTGTGCGCTGCCGAAAAAGAAGTTCTTCTTGGTTCAAGTTTTTCCATTCACTTGCACTTTTCACACTATTAAATCTCTTAGCTTGAATAATGTATTCCCTAAGGTGGTACGTAAGGTCAACAAAGACACGCCTTTGCACTTTTAGTTGATTCACGTAAATATTAAATTGAATGCTTTGTATGATTGTAGGCTAGGGAGTTATTAATTTATATATTATCTTAAGCGTGAGGTTCTACGCCACAGATCAAAAAACTAATATAAATTGGGAAAAAATGTTAGGTTATTTTAAAACAAGAACAGTCTAATGTACTGGTTTGTATTTTCTTTGTATGGATTATTTAAGGTCCAGACTGTTATAGTTTCAATTGTGAGAATGCCATTTCCTATTTTTAATCCACCAAACAATTTTTAAGAATTGTAGGTCATGTAATTTAAGACGAAGGACAGCCGAGAATGTAAATTATTGCAAAAGCAAGTTTGGCTGATGCAAAATTTAAGATTAATTTTAACAGTATGTTAGCTGTGTTCCGGAGTCTCAGTTACGTTTGGTAATATTTATGCCTCGGATCATAACTGTATTACAGGAAGAATAAAGCATTTGAAACAAGGTCAGCTTCTTTGCATCTGTGTAAAAAGCTCATTCACTGATAATATACTCCAATGAAACCACAATAATGTTTAAAACAAACACGGTGTACCAGCCTTGGAAAACTATAACAGTCTTGGAGCTTCTCGGGCCTGCAGATACTGCATCCAAAAAACGGGTTACATAGAACGTAATGGATGGAAATTTCCCCAATTGACAATTTTTCATTCTGAATTCGCCCTTCGCCACTCACCTTTCACCATTTCTTATTTCCCACTCACCGTTAGCCATTTCCTACTTCCTCAATTTCTCATTTTCATTTTCATTTGCCCTTTCCTTTTTTCCCTTTTCCATTCCCCATTCCTCATTCGATATACCTCACTTTCCATTTCTCATTTCCCATTCTCTTCCTCGTTGTCTATTTCCCTCTCCCAATTTCTTGTTTCCTGGTCCTTGTTTGCTCTTCTTCATTCCTTGTTCCCTGTCTCCTGTTCTCTCTCCCCTGTTCCCTGTTCGCTGATCTCGATTTTCCCCGGGAGCAGTGCTACAACCTCGTTTCCAGGGTCTCATCATTATTTTGCTTTTCCATTCGTCAGGAAGACAATCGATTCGTGTGGACGGTCTGCTACAATCAACAGTACATGTGCAAACAGCTAATGGCGTGACACTTTTGAGAGACACCCGAAAGATATTCCTATTCCCGTCCTTTAACAGGCAGCCCAAAAATGCTAGGTTTACTACCATTTCGGAAAGCTAATTATTTGGAAAATGACCAAAAACAGTCGCAAGAAGTCCATTATGCCTGTTTTCGGGCAACATTGAATTGTTCCATGTATCACTAAAAAGCATTTTTTTTAGTTTTCTGTCAAAAGACTTTATTCTGCCAGCTTTGAATTTACCGGGACTTCGCATAAAAATTATTGAAGGCTGTCAATCTGCAGGAATGACGTGACGTCACATCCGGTAGGGTATCCCATTATACACCAAAAGCACAATCTTAGATCACGTGGTAAGAGGCACGTCTTCAAAAATATGGCGGGGTTGTGTGTCTTGGAAGGTAAGAAAATTTGGCGTTTTTCTGTTTTTATTTGTTTCTCTTTGCCCTGTTTTTACATTGTCATAAGTAAGATGTATGTCTTCAAATTGAAAAGTAACTAGCAGAAGTTAATTCAAGTGGAAGGAAGCGTTTTTTAGAAGGTGAATTTGAGCATATGTCAATACATAACACTTCATTGGGGCTTCAATATTAGGTAAACTACTTTTAAAATCACTAGGCTGGTCTTTAAAATAAATAGCTGTGCATATTTTTGAACCCATTTGGAAGCTAAATTGTAGGGCTTTCATTAACGTTTTCAGCAGTAAGGCGACTGGTTTCCACTAGTGGGCAAAACTATTTGAAATGAACTTCTTTATAAGAAACACTCTCCTCTAGATGGTCAAACCAGGCAGGCAAAATCCCCAGGCGGGGGAGGGGGGGAGGCACTGCCATATATGGGCTGTATAGGTATGTGCCGCTGTGAAGGGTATGGTTTTCAAGCAGTTTACTCTAGGATAGGGTATATAAATCAGAGCGTTTGGGTCTAGATTAGGGTATAATTTTTCAGAAACCTGACTAAAATCAAATTGGCAAGTTTAAATTTAGGTAAATCAGCCTCAACAGTGTTGATAGATGGGGGGATTTGGAGAGTTTACCTAGTATAGGGTAGCAAAATTCAGCTGAACTAGCTCTGGTTTAGGCTAAGGGTTCCAGGGTCCCAGCGGCACATCCCCACCCAGAAATTCCAAAAGTACCCTCCCCCCCCCNCCCCCCCCCCCCCCCCCAGGGCAAAATCTTCCTCACAGCTGGTCAATTTTGCCTAGTGCCTGGGGCCCGTTTCTCGAAAGCCCTGGAAACTTTTCCAGCCCATAAAACCATAGCAAAATCTCGAACCTTACGATTACAGAGCTGTTTTATTCACATATTCTTAATATGAAGAGAAGTTCCCTTCATATAAGAAGTTTCAGGTGTATACACTTCTCCGTCTTTAGATATAGATGGACCAAAAATGGCTTCATGGGTCCGTAAAGTTTCTGGGGCTTTCGAGAAACGGGCCCCTGGCCCTTAATGACACTCCCTTTGAATTGTTGATGTTATCCCTCTAATCAAACATGTATGACAAATCTCTTAATGCAGGTCCAGTTTTAGCCCTACATTATATAAATACATATATTATTATTATATGGCTAGCTCCCTGAGCAGGCCAGTGGCACTATCTTGCCTTTCAGGGTTACATGGCGCGATGTCTGACAAGAAAAAATTGTTCTTTATCCCATATAATAATTCCTATATTGACCAAGCTTGTTCGGTCAAGATGGCTAAATATTGGCCTTGTTCTTTGTTTGCATGCTATGGACCTTGACTATGTTTTGGTCCATAACCATGCAAAAAAAAGAACTTGGTCAATATCCAGCCATCTTGACCTCATGCTTCGTTAGAAACCCATAATTTTATGTAATTGGACTGAGTGGAGCACAGTTTAGGGTGTAATTGTTTGAGTACAGGTAATTTCAAATTGACCGAGTGTGCAGGACAATGCTGCGATTACTTATAATTCCAACAATAACAAATTTCAAGATTAAAAGAGTCTTTAATTCTAGTTACAGGATCTTATATGAGTCCTATTTTACCTCCCCAGCATACATTGTACATATCCTGCATTCAGTAGACATTAAGATTATTGGAACCTTTCAAGTAGTTGTCGTTATCTGCATACTATTTATAAACAAAGTTTGCCTTATCCTGTTGTTCTACTGTTCATCTTAGGACTGCAGCCTTTTGTGTCATATTTGCAGTTTTTCCAGTGCTTACCAGGATTGAATGCTTTTAAAGTCTTTCCTCTTTCTTACCAGATTGAGATCAGAGAAGCAACAATAAAGTTTATACAGTGAAACTTATATGGAAAGAAATTCACTTTGAGGCATTAGATCCCATAATAGGTGAGTCCTGATTTCTTTGTGTTTGGTTGGAGTGGTTATTAATTTTTTTGCTACTTGTACTAGGAGTAATAACACAATGCTGCCAAAAATGAAATTAACAGGGAAGTTGTTGTTGGTCTAATACATGTAGTTAGTGTACTGGACTGCACATTAAGCAGTCTTTGGGCAAGAAACTTTGCTCTCACAGTGCCTCTCACCACCCAGGTGGACAATTGGTACTTGGTTAATTCAATGCTGGGGCTAACCCCGTAACAGACTGGCATCTCAGCCAGGGGTTGGGAAGAGTAGAAATACTTTTCAGCACTTTTGCTTCCAAAACCAGCATAAGCTGTGGTGTTTTAGATCGCTTGGCCTGAAACAGATTCTACCTTACCTTCATTGTCAAACCTCTTCCTTAGTAGTGTTGAAATGTTTTTAAGGAAATCTGCTGACTTATTTTTTATGGGCTGTGTAGTTTGTAAAACTTAAGAGATTAAGGCTGTCATAAAGGTTAAAACGTTTCCTGTTTCTTGTTAAATTCAAATCAGGGAAACAACAATGAAAGTATATGCTGAGACTTGAGAGGGGAAAAAATCACGTTGGAAAAAATCACGTTGAAACAGTGGATTCTGTGGTAAGTGAGTCACAATTTCTTTGTGTTTGGTTTCATGTACTAGACATGCCTGAGTGCACAATGAACAGAGGGGGACATTGGGGTTTACGGTATTGTGGTATTGGACAATTGTGGTATTTCGGTAATTTTAATCTCCAAATGTGGTATAATTGTGGTATTCTCCAAACCTACAGGATGCAGTTTTTTAGCATGTATTAGAAATTATCCTCTAAGTCCTGCAATGTTTTCCAAGCCTTTTCCAGTTTCCGATTGGACATTCCCAATGAAACTTAGCTCTCATGGAAATGGAAAACTACAATTCCTTGTGTTGCAGTCAAAAAAGGATAAGTTTTTTTGTTGATCATTTAGCCAGTACACCAGTGGATGTTACTTATTTTGATTATTTTGTCTAGAGCAAAAATTACTTGACTTTATGTTCATTAACAAATTCTTAAAATTGCTAAATCTGCTCTAAAATTAAGATACAGAGTAGTGGTTTCGGTATGACATCGAGTTTCGACTCAGTATTGAAGTATTGCGGTATTTGGTGATATTTTTTTGTGATATTGTGGCATTTGTCGAATTTTTTTGTGATATTGTGGAGTTCAGAACCCCCCAATGTCCCCCTCATGTATATGTAGGTGGAAGGGATGTTACTGTTTCATGGTTTAGCTATGTCAAGAAACTTGTTATGTGGCCATACTACATCTAATAGGCCTTCAGGGCAAGGGTGTACAAAAATTCCTTAAAACTGCAATGCCTGGGATACCATTGTTGACGAGTATTCTTTTGTGGGAGGAGGGACAGAAATCTAGTGTTAAGCACTCTGGACTGCAGATCAAGAGGTCTAATTGGTTTTAATAATGGTTAGGCTCTCTGTGATGTGTTCTTGGGCAAGACACTTGACTCTCACACTACCTCTAAATGGGTACTGGGTAAATTTAATAGACTTACATGTAACAGACTTGCATCCCATCCCATCCCATCCCATCTTATCCCATTATTGCCAAATCTGATAAGTTATTTTTAATTGTGTAGTGAGTAAAACTTAAGAGATCAAGGCTGTTATGAAGGTTAAAATAGTTCCCATTTTTTACTAGATAGAAACCAGAAGGCTGTGTGCTGAGGCTTATGTGGAAAAAGATTCATACTGAGGTAATAGATTCCACATCAGGTGAGTCTTTTTGTTTCTTTGTGTCTAGTGGGCAAAGTTGTCAGTGACACAATTATACCTGCGCTAGGAAAATTAAAACAAATAGAGATGTTATTGTTTCACAGTTCAGCTATCGCACTGCATTGTGTTCTTGGACATGACAGGTTACTCTCACAGTGCCTCCCTCCCCCCAGATATACAAATGGGTACAGGGTGAATATCATACTGGGGCTAGCCCTGCATTCCATTGATGCTATACTCAAACTGGAATAAGCTGTGGTAGTTTGGATCACTTGGGCTGTTGAAATCTTTACCTTACCTTCAGTGCTGAAACTTCCCCTTGTAGCGTTTAAACTTTAAAAATCTGAAGACTTATTTTCAATTGTGTAGTTTGTAAAACTTAAGGAATTCCATAAAAGTTAAAAAATTTGCACTTTTTTGGCAGATGCCTAACAGAAGCAAGGAAAGGGCTATGTGTCAAGACTTAAGAGGAGAAAGAATCAAACAGAGACACTGGGTTCCATAGTAGGTAAGTCACAATTTTATTCATGTCTTTTATCATGTACCAGAAATTAATAATACATTATTATTATTGCACACAAGGCAGGCAGAAGATTAAAACAAACAGAGATGTTATTGTATCATACTGTTCAGCTACAGTGGAACCCCACCTTACGGTCACCTTGTCAATACGGTTACCTCATTATTATGGCCACTTTTTTTTGTACCGGCAAAGCACTTATATATTTTCTGATAGGTCAGGAAAACCCTGTTAATGCAGCCACCCTGTTAATATGGCCTCATTATAATATCCCAACCTGTATAATCCTTTACAATTTTACCCCATTTACTTTATGCGGCCACTCGACCCAGTTATGTTCATCTTTTCAATCTAAATATTGTACATATGAACTAAATAAAGTTTCAATTTTTTGAAAATTCTATCTACATTCCAGATAATTATAAAAGAACAGTTGTTCAGAAGTGCAATTGTGATATATCTGTTACTTCTGTTAAGATCTCACTCAATTTAGACCAAATTGTTAATACTGCCAAATTTTCATGGCCTGTTGGTGACCGTATTAGTGGGGTTGCACTGCATGTCTCTTAACAAACCGTTATATGGCCAACGTATACCTTAGCCCTTCGAGGGTAGGGTTCACAAAAATTCCTTAAGACTGCAATGCTCGGGGTACTGTTGTTGAGGAGTACTGTTTTGTGGGAGGAGGGACACAGTGTACTAATGGTTAGTATACTGGACTGTACATCAAGCAGTCTGGGTTTGAGCCAATGGTTCGGATCTCTGCATTGGGCAAGACACTTGAGTCTCACACTACCTCTATCCACCTAGGTGTACAAACACGTACTGGGTAAATTTGATACTGGATACTGGATGACAGACTAGCATCCCATCAATCAATCAATCAATCAATCAATCAATCAATCAATCAATCAATCAATCAATCAATCAAACTTCATTTAAAGAGGGTGACACTTGATAGTGAAAAAACTAATGAACTTGTGGCCCTCTATAAACATTGTTACAATTTAAATAAAACCTATTTTAATTAGTAACCTAATTAAGAACTTATTTAAAACCTAATTAAAAATCACAATGTCCACCAGATTTAGGCAGAATAGAAATACCCATTTTCCACTTCATGCGTCAGTGACCTGGATAAGCTGGGTTGGTGTGGATCACTTAACCTGATGGTTTAGTTTTTGAAATTAAGAATGATGGATGTCATAAAGGTTAAAACATTTCCTGTTTCTCGCTAGATACAAAACAGAGAAGGAACTATAAAAGCTGTGCTGTCTTAAGAGGAAAACGAATCAAAGTGAGACATTGGATCCTTTGTTAGGTGCGTCACAATTTTCTTTTAAAAGGAAGAGTTTTTAATCACTTGATGGTGCATGTACTAGGAATAATTGTACACATTGCAAGGAAATAATTTAAACGAATGGCGAAGTTATTGTTTCAATTTGAGTGGACAAAGATAGGGATCTTATCCATGGATGTAAAAAAGCTCTGAACTGCCTTGTATGCTACACGAGAGTAAAGCATGTTTTCTGTAAGTACGCTTGAAATAACTTTCTTGGTTACAAATGTCAGTCTCATCATATGCTAAAACTTTCACAATGGGAGAGAAATGCTTCATAACTACGTTCAAATCACGGAGTTATTTATTTGTTTTTATTTTTTGCCGTGACAATTTTCGGATTTTNGGAAACTTTTCCAGCCCATAAAACCATAGCAAAATCTCGAACCTTACGATTACAGAGCTGTTTTATTCACATATTCTTAATATGAAGAGAAGTTCCCTTCATATAAGAAGTTTCAGGTGTATACACTTCTCCGTCTTTAGATATAGATGGACCAAAAATGGCTTCATGGGTCCGTAAAGTTTCTGGGGCTTTCGAGAAACGGGCCCCTGGCCCTTAATGACACTCCCTTTGAATTGTTGATGTTATCCCTCTAATCAAACATGTATGACAAATCTCTTAATGCAGGTCCAGTTTTAGCCCTACATTATATAAATACATATATTATTATTATATGGCTAGCTCCCTGAGCAGGCCAGTGGCACTATCTTGCCTTTCAGGGTTACATGGCGCGATGTCTGACAAGAAAAAATTGTTCTTTATCCCATATAATAATTCCTATATTGACCAAGCTTGTTCGGTCAAGATGGCTAAATATTGGCCTTGTTCTTTGTTTGCATGCTATGGACCTTGACTATGTTTTGGTCCATAACCATGCAAAAAAAAGAACTTGGTCAATATCCAGCCATCTTGACCTCATGCTTCGTTAGAAACCCATAATTTTATGTAATTGGACTGAGTGGAGCACAGTTTAGGGTGTAATTGTTTGAGTACAGGTAATTTCAAATTGACCGAGTGTGCAGGACAATGCTGCGATTACTTATAATTCCAACAATAACAAATTTCAAGATTAAAAGAGTCTTTAATTCTAGTTACAGGATCTTATATGAGTCCTATTTTACCTCCCCAGCATACATTGTACATATCCTGCATTCAGTAGACATTAAGATTATTGGAACCTTTCAAGTAGTTGTCGTTATCTGCATACTATTTATAAACAAAGTTTGCCTTATCCTGTTGTTCTACTGTTCATCTTAGGACTGCAGCCTTTTGTGTCATATTTGCAGTTTTTCCAGTGCTTACCAGGATTGAATGCTTTTAAAGTCTTTCCTCTTTCTTACCAGATTGAGATCAGAGAAGCAACAATAAAGTTTATACAGTGAAACTTATATGGAAAGAAATTCACTTTGAGGCATTAGATCCCATAATAGGTGAGTCCTGATTTCTTTGTGTTTGGTTGGAGTGGTTATTAATTTTTTTGCTACTTGTACTAGGAGTAATAACACAATGCTGCCAAAAATGAAATTAACAGGGAAGTTGTTGTTGGTCTAATACATGTAGTTAGTGTACTGGACTGCACATTAAGCAGTCTTTGGGCAAGAAACTTTGCTCTCACAGTGCCTCTCACCACCCAGGTGGACAATTGGTACTTGGTTAATTCAATGCTGGGGCTAACCCCGTAACAGACTGGCATCTCAGCCAGGGGTTGGGAAGAGTAGAAATACTTTTCAGCACTTTTGCTTCCAAAACCAGCATAAGCTGTGGTGTTTTAGATCGCTTGGCCTGAAACAGATTCTACCTTACCTTCATTGTCAAACCTCTTCCTTAGTAGTGTTGAAATGTTTTTAAGGAAATCTGCTGACTTATTTTTTATGGGCTGTGTAGTTTGTAAAACTTAAGAGATTAAGGCTGTCATAAAGGTTAAAACGTTTCCTGTTTCTTGTTAAATTCAAATCAGGGAAACAACAATGAAAGTATATGCTGAGACTTGAGAGGGGAAAAAATCACGTTGGAAAAAATCACGTTGAAACAGTGGATTCTGTGGTAAGTGAGTCACAATTTCTTTGTGTTTGGTTTCATGTACTAGACATGCCTGAGTGCACAATGAACAGAGGGGGACATTGGGGTTTACGGTATTGTGGTATTGGACAATTGTGGTATTTCGGTAATTTTAATCTCCAAATGTGGTATAATTGTGGTATTCTCCAAACCTACAGGATGCAGTTTTTTAGCATGTATTAGAAATTATCCTCTAAGTCCTGCAATGTTTTCCAAGCCTTTTCCAGTTTCCGATTGGACATTCCCAATGAAACTTAGCTCTCATGGAAATGGAAAACTACAATTCCTTGTGTTGCAGTCAAAAAAGGATAAGTTTTTTTGTTGATCATTTAGCCAGTACACCAGTGGATGTTACTTATTTTGATTATTTTGTCTAGAGCAAAAATTACTTGACTTTATGTTCATTAACAAATTCTTAAAATTGCTAAATCTGCTCTAAAATTAAGATACAGAGTAGTGGTTTCGGTATGACATCGAGTTTCGACTCAGTATTGAAGTATTGCGGTATTTGGTGATATTTTTTTGTGATATTGTGGCATTTGTCGAATTTTTTTGTGATATTGTGGAGTTCAGAACCCCCCAATGTCCCCCTCATGTATATGTAGGTGGAAGGGATGTTACTGTTTCATGGTTTAGCTATGTCAAGAAACTTGTTATGTGGCCATACTACATCTAATAGGCCTTCAGGGCAAGGGTGTACAAAAATTCCTTAAAACTGCAATGCCTGGGATACCATTGTTGACGAGTATTCTTTTGTGGGAGGAGGGACAGAAATCTAGTGTTAAGCACTCTGGACTGCAGATCAAGAGGTCTAATTGGTTTTAATAATGGTTAGGCTCTCTGTGATGTGTTCTTGGGCAAGACACTTGACTCTCACACTACCTCTAAATGGGTACTGGGTAAATTTAATAGACTTACATGTAACAGACTTGCATCCCATCCCATCCCATCCCATCTTATCCCATTATTGCCAAATCTGATAAGTTATTTTTAATTGTGTAGTGAGTAAAACTTAAGAGATCAAGGCTGTTATGAAGGTTAAAATAGTTCCCATTTTTTACTAGATAGAAACCAGAAGGCTGTGTGCTGAGGCTTATGTGGAAAAAGATTCATACTGAGGTAATAGATTCCACATCAGGTGAGTCTTTTTGTTTCTTTGTGTCTAGTGGGCAAAGTTGTCAGTGACACAATTATACCTGCGCTAGGAAAATTAAAACAAATAGAGATGTTATTGTTTCACAGTTCAGCTATCGCACTGCATTGTGTTCTTGGACATGACAGGTTACTCTCACAGTGCCTCCCTCCCCCCAGATATACAAATGGGTACAGGGTGAATATCATACTGGGGCTAGCCCTGCATTCCATTGATGCTATACTCAAACTGGAATAAGCTGTGGTAGTTTGGATCACTTGGGCTGTTGAAATCTTTACCTTACCTTCAGTGCTGAAACTTCCCCTTGTAGCGTTTAAACTTTAAAAATCTGAAGACTTATTTTCAATTGTGTAGTTTGTAAAACTTAAGGAATTCCATAAAAGTTAAAAAATTTGCACTTTTTTGGCAGATGCCTAACAGAAGCAAGGAAAGGGCTATGTGTCAAGACTTAAGAGGAGAAAGAATCAAACAGAGACACTGGGTTCCATAGTAGGTAAGTCACAATTTTATTCATGTCTTTTATCATGTACCAGAAATTAATAATACATTATTATTATTGCACACAAGGCAGGCAGAAGATTAAAACAAACAGAGATGTTATTGTATCATACTGTTCAGCTACAGTGGAACCCCACCTTACGGTCACCTTGTCAATACGGTTACCTCATTATTATGGCCACTTTTTTTTGTACCGGCAAAGCACTTATATATTTTCTGATAGGTCAGGAAAACCCTGTTAATGCAGCCACCCTGTTAATATGGCCTCATTATAATATCCCAACCTGTATAATCCTTTACAATTTTACCCCATTTACTTTATGCGGCCACTCGACCCAGTTATGTTCATCTTTTCAATCTAAATATTGTACATATGAACTAAATAAAGTTTCAATTTTTTGAAAATTCTATCTACATTCCAGATAATTATAAAAGAACAGTTGTTCAGAAGTGCAATTGTGATATATCTGTTACTTCTGTTAAGATCTCACTCAATTTAGACCAAATTGTTAATACTGCCAAATTTTCATGGCCTGTTGGTGACCGTATTAGTGGGGTTGCACTGCATGTCTCTTAACAAACCGTTATATGGCCAACGTATACCTTAGCCCTTCGAGGGTAGGGTTCACAAAAATTCCTTAAGACTGCAATGCTCGGGGTACTGTTGTTGAGGAGTACTGTTTTGTGGGAGGAGGGACACAGTGTACTAATGGTTAGTATACTGGACTGTACATCAAGCAGTCTGGGTTTGAGCCAATGGTTCGGATCTCTGCATTGGGCAAGACACTTGAGTCTCACACTACCTCTATCCACCTAGGTGTACAAACACGTACTGGGTAAATTTGATACTGGATACTGGATGACAGACTAGCATCCCATCAATCAATCAATCAATCAATCAATCAATCAATCAATCAATCAATCAATCAATCAATCAATCAATCAATCAATCAATCAATCAATCAAACTTCATTTAAAGAGGGTGACACTTGATAGTGAAAAAACTAATGAACTTGTGGCCCTCTATAAACATTGTTACAATTTAAATAAAACCTATTTTAATTAGTAACCTAATTAAGAACTTATTTAAAACCTAATTAAAAATCACAATGTCCACCAGATTTAGGCAGAATAGAAATACCCATTTTCCACTTCATGCGTCAGTGACCTGGATAAGCTGGGTTGGTGTGGATCACTTAACCTGATGGTTTAGTTTTTGAAATTAAGAATGATGGATGTCATAAAGGTTAAAACATTTCCTGTTTCTCGCTAGATACAAAACAGAGAAGGAACTATAAAAGCTGTGCTGTCTTAAGAGGAAAACGAATCAAAGTGAGACATTGGATCCTTTGTTAGGTGCGTCACAATTTTCTTTTAAAAGGAAGAGTTTTTAATCACTTGATGGTGCATGTACTAGGAATAATTGTACACATTGCAAGGAAATAATTTAAACGAATGGCGAAGTTATTGTTTCAATTTGAGTGGACAAAGATAGGGATCTTATCCATGGATGTAAAAAAGCTCTGAACTGCCTTGTATGCTACACGAGAGTAAAGCATGTTTTCTGTAAGTACGCTTGAAATAACTTTCTTGGTTACAAATGTCAGTCTCATCATATGCTAAAACTTTCACAATGGGAGAGAAATGCTTCATAACTACGTTCAAATCACGGAGTTATTTATTTGTTTTTATTTTTTGCCGTGACAATTTTCGGATTTTCACCGTTGTGTGAAATTCCCTCAGGAGTTTCGGATACGACTGGGAAATGTTCTAGAAATAGCTGTCAAAAGGAAAGTTGCCTTCAGTCGTAGTTTCGTAAAAGCCGTCGTGTGAAAAGTTTAAGCGATAGGTGTTGGGTAGTGAGAAAAAAAAAAAACATAATTACTTGTAATTACTGTAAAATCTTTTATAATGTACTAATTACCTTGCATGCACCTCTTAGGAAAAGAATTTTGCTTGTTTGCATGAGTATTACATTTGAACAACAATTTGAATTTTAAAGCAACTTTGTCTTAATATTCGCTTGTGTAAATTTTTTAATTTTTGTTTGCATTTGGTCATAAGCGTCTGGCAAATTACATTACCTTTATTTTAATACTTATTTTAAATGTGAAGCAACCCGAAAGCTTTTTCGTTTAAAAAAATTTCACGAGTTATTCAAGGATGGTGACTGCTAACCACGCATAAATTCATCCTCGGGAAGAAAATGCAAATATTGCGGCCCGTTTAGTCGCGAACATTTTTGCCGTAAAATTTTTAGTGTGCTATTTTGCTAGTAAGCTTTTAGACCGCAAAAGTTGCTAGTGAAAGTTAATTTTAGAGTGCTATGTTTTAGCCGGTGCTATTTATTTCGTTTTGCTGCTTGTCCGCGTTTTATGTTCTTCTTAATATCATTATGTTAACTCCCTGTATTTCTTTGTTGATGATATCACCAAACGACAAGCGCATTCCCCATGAGAGAATTTATACTTGTAAACTTTAGTCGAGTATACACTGTATGTATATTTTGTTCTTTGGGTTCCAGTAAACCCATTGTTAATTGAACGTTTTATCTGTCTTTCTTTCAGGCTGTAATCTCAAGTGTACATGCAGCGACATTAACATGGAGAAAGAAGCAAAGGAAAGCAAAGACCTTCGTTTAGATGTTTCTATAGTGGATCACCTTTTAAAGTAAGGTAGATTTACAAGACAGAGTTTATCTCGATTGAGTTTCTTGCGAAAGATTGTTAGGGCGGAGCTCGTATTAGCGATTTCACAACAAGAAGACATCGGAATTACTTTCAAATTGTCTAGCATCTGCCAAATTGTCTCGGATCTTGCTAGTTTTCGAGGAAGGCATGAATTGTATTTCGAGTTTGTAGCTTTAGAATAAAGGTAGAGTATTAGCATTACCTGGTTTAGTTTTTCCGAATCGTCAGCTTGGAAGTCTCGTTATTAAACTCGTTGAAATTACTGTCTAATTATCTAGTATCTATTCCACAAATTTACGGAAATCTTTCTAGTTTTCGAGGACGCATTGAATTGATATAAATGTTGCGCTTTTAAAACGGCCAAGAAAGAAATCGTAAAGAGGAAAAATTGTCCTTAGAAAAAAAAGTCTGCAATTTTAAATGGTGTCTGGTTTTGAGTCAAACATATACTGAGTCTTTTGGCGGAAAAAATCAAGCACTATGTAGGATTTTTCCCATCAAACCTCACAGTACATGCTTGAACTCTGGTTAGACTCTGTTCAAAAGCGCAGAATTTTTTTTCTTTTTGGCGACCCTACATAGTCAAAGAATAGTAAAAGAGATAGCCTACATTCCGACTTGTTTCCAGGCCCTTTTAAAAGCGCAATTTTTTTTTATTTTGTTTACTTATTCAAATTGTTTGTAAA